GCACCAGAAAATATATTATGTCATACGCAGCTGTCATCCGTACGCAAGGAAGTAAGCACCAGATGCCGAACACCCTTAGCAGGATGCAGCGCACCCTTCATACGACTCGCCGAATACCTCACGGCGCTTCGCGCTTGGTGATGTGAGAGCCTGGCCCGGTGAGAACTCGGCGTGCTCCGTCCCGACTTTGTAGGGATGCGAGGTCAATGGTCTAACGACTACGGCGTGCACGACTTGAGTACCCCCCCCCCCCCCCCCCAGCACTGCATCATTGCACCAATCCCCCGCTAACGATGACGTGCAATTGCTGGCTCGGGTGGTCCGCATTGTGTTTTGTTGTTGGTGCTGGCTTGTGCTATTCTGTTTGTTTGTCTGTTCTTTGTCGCTACGGCGTGTGTCTTTCTCTGTCTGTGTCATTCTCCATTTCTCTTTCCCTTGTCTCCATCTATCTACTCTCTTCTTTTCCTTTTTCTTTCTTTTTCCAATATAGGGTTACCCCGCATAGCGTGTAGAGACGAGCGGAATGGCCTAGACTATCTGTCATTGACTTCTATTGGCTTGCAGAATCTTCGGGTCTATATCTTCGTATACCATTTTTGGGTAAGTTTGCCTGTGACCACGGGAATCGACCCCGTCAAGTGTTAGACTAGTACGGACAGAAGAAGGTGCTGGGCAGAGAGAATGGAACGGTTAATATGAAGACAATAACAACAACAACAACAACAACAACAACAACAACAACAACAACAACAACAGCAGCAGCAATATCTACCTTACCAAAGTCTACATCTACCTTACCAAAGTCACACCTAACGCGAAGAAGAAATAGACAAGGGTGTGGATTTCAAACAAAAGCGCCGCCAATCAGCAGCGCGCAGGCGGGACTGAATTCTCCATCTGTATATTGCAGGCGTTCATCGTTTTATGCAAACACATCTGGTCCTGACATGCTGAAAGTTCCCATTTGACGTCCAATGGCTATCCCATGGGACACTTCCCATGGGACCGCGCTTCGGACGTCCCGCGCGACGGTCAGATGAGGCGCGTGGGGTGTCCCAGTGGGACGTTACTTCGGTGCTAACACCCAGACGCATAGACGCAAACCCGTGATATTAGATAACAACAGATATATATAGGATGCATGGAAAGGTAATTAAGACGCGACTAACTGCACCCAAACCGAAAAAATTAGCAACGGGCGTGTAATGGGCGGGTGTCCCATCCGGCGTCCCAGGCGTCCGATGGGACAGCCATTGGATGTACGTCGAACGTCCCACGTGTCCCATGGGACAGCCATTGGACGTCCCGTGGGACACGTCGGACGTCCAAAGGCATCCGTCCGACACCCCGTGGGACGCCTGGGACGGCCAATGTGTGTCTACACGTCTCACGAACGTCCCACAGCGTCCCAGGACATGACCCGAACGCACAATTTGGATCCTCTAGACTATCTAACGTTGTTTCCACCCACGGCGAAGGGAAGGCATGGCATATTTTGGACGTTTCATGGGCGTCCCATCCCGGACCAGTTTACAAATCAGTTTACCAACCAGAGTTGGGATGCCGAGTCACCGGAATCTCGCGCACGATGGGACACCTTAAAAGCCGTGACGACCTCCATCGCGGAAGCGCAGGCGAACGCTGACGCCAGCGCAGCCGCTCTCCTCCAGGAACAAGTTCCGCGTCAGCGTGCAGAAGCCGAGGCAAAACCACACGACTTGCGTCGCCGGTGCGCACCGTCTGCTGCGGAGCTCTTTAGCAGAGAGATTCTCAACAGGCGTCTTTTGCCCAACACGAGTCGGACAGACGCACACTCACGGAGCGGCTCCTCGCCGAGGAAGTCTGGCTCAAACACGACCTTGCCGCTCAACACGAGCAGTTAGCAAGGTTCCGATGGTGGCGGCCACACGCGTCGGCGTTCGGGGGCCGCCAAGAACAAGCGCGCGACATAGATCAAGAGAGACCGCCGCTCAGGCAGCCACCCTTTCACCCTCGGCTACGGCCGACGTCCCTTGGGGACAAGCACCCCTCGTCGATGGCGACGAAACACCCGCCGCGCGCGCCGCGTCCCCGCCGCGGTTTGCCCACGCCGCGCGTGTTGACAAGCACGGCCTTGGGTTCCCCGAAACGTTCGTCATGACGTTGCGCTTCCGGCCAGGAGATGAGCATGAACTTCCTCGGTGACGAGCTTGGCGACGTCGTTTTCGGCTCCCGCCCGGACGGGACACATGCACACCGACGCGGCGGCTTTCCACTTCGGCTCGGCACTGTAGCCATGGCCACGCAACAGCGGCAACACGCATCTATCCAGGTGGGGTTGAAGGGTAAGCTCCTCAATGCTTACGGCTTGTTCCAGACCATCCGTGAGGGTCGTGCGGTCGCCAAACGAGAGGGGCACACATTCCAACCTCGCATGCGGCGATTGACCCATGTCGGGGCCTCCCAAGAACGCCAACGGCTGCAACTGCTCCGATAGCGGCTCCGCATCCAGTGCTTTCGCTCGCGGTCGAGGAGCCTCTCGCTCCACAAACGTCTCTCGACATGACCTTGTCGGGTGAACCTACCACGCACGCGCGACAAGCTCCACGATCAGGACGCCAACGGCGGCCGCAGGAAGAAGCAAACGCCGCATCTACCGCCCCGACCCGGGGACTCGCCGGTCTGCCAAGGAGGCGAAGGCCGCACGTGCAGACTCCTCTCGCCATGACGAGGGAGGATCCATCAAGAGCCAAGTACTCCACACCACCTCACCACAACCACAATCGCAGCCACAGCCCCGGCAGAGACCGCCAACGCTCTCGCCGTGACCGCAGCAACCGCGCCAACAGCGATATCAGCCGCTCCAGCGACAACAGCACAGTTGCTAGTGAGGACCGCTGCCTGGCGACAGCGACCGCAGCTGCAGCCGCAGCGCTTCGAACACAGGCAAGTTTATTCGCTGTCGGAAGTAGCTTCCGGCAATAGACTACGCGCAAATTTCTGATTGCATCTCCTCTCGCGAACAAGCGTCGCTCGCCCGATCCCCACCTTGCACAGACCCACACCAGCGGGCAGCTGCAGAAGCCGAAGAAGCCGGTGCGGGTGTCTCAAAGAAAGGTGAACAGCAACTTTGGTATCTTGGACTTGCGTAAGGTAGAACGCATAAGCCCTTCGCTGCCATTCGTGTCGACTCTGAAAGACACCGATGCACCGCAACAGCTCAAAGCGTAGTCTCAAAGACACGATGGAAAGTATCCTCGACTTCACTGACGATCGTGCGTACACAGCCTCCGGAGATTGGAAATCAGTACGGATGAACATCCCTTCCGTAAGATGATCACAAGGGCGACCATCCCTAACCTGCCTTCGACTCTCTGATTACCGGCGTTTTCCACGAACTGTTTGAACAGCTCCAAAAATTACTAAGGGACGGGGGGACGGGGTCGGACGCTTTGAAGGGTTTTCTGCAAGGTGTGGCACGGCACTTTGATGGCAGCACGCAGAGCGACTCTTTCGAGAAGTTTGGGATTTGCTCTCCGTGAGCAGAAGAACGGTTTGACGTGCGGAAACTGGGGTACAGGAACATCGGGCACACAGTGGACGCCCATTTCCGAATTCCTCATACAAGCCGGTGATGAAGTTTCTTCGGTTCATTTCAATACCGGTCGCCCCGGTGGTCTAGTCGGTAACCTCGACACCTTCTAGAGGTCAGGTCAGGGGTTCGAATCCCGGCGTAAGCGAGCTTTTCTTGCAAAGTGAGTTTTTCTCTCGCTTCCGCTCCTGGCCTACCTAGTGGATAGCGCTAGCTCGTGTGTACACAGAGGGAAGAGAGTGATGAACTCTTCTCGCATTAAAAATCGGAGGCAAAGTACCGCAGGAGGGGAGGGTAGAGAGGGGCTCTTCTGTGTGACCACGGGTTGGAGTAAACGGCACTAGTGCTGTGAGCGCTGATTTGAAGTGAAGACAAAAAAAAAAAATGCCTCCCCGCCAGATTCTATACATGCTGGCAAATTTCGAAGGCAACAAACAACCAGCATCACCATTAACGCTTGTGGCACAGGTAAGGACCAAGACCTCCTCGCATCGCGTTAGTACCTCTGTGTCCAGCACACTCGCAGCTACGCGTGCTCTGTCGACGACGGGGAATCGAGTGATGAATGAGACAGAAGTCACGAAAGTGCCGGCTACACCGCCACTGTTACCCCCATCAATGGCACCCCACTGCAATTCGGGCAGAAAGGAAGGCTGCGTTTATTTTGTTTTCTTTCGAATTGCTTCATTATTTCTTCGGTTTCTAGGCTACGTGTTGGGGAGAGAGACGCACGAAACGCTCATCGTCTCTCCGGCCGCGTTAGCTGCAAAGGCCGGCGTCAACTCTTACAAATCCATCTCTCTCCCCACAAATACTAGCCGGGGGACTACGACTGCAAACGCAGGAGTCCCAAAACTGACCAAGTCCTCAAATGGTACACACCATTCTACAACACCTGACTAGATACCGAATATTCCCGAACTTATGCCCCCACCTTCGAAAGAAAAGGGATGGGAGGGCGGGATTTTCTAAACTGCCGCCGCTACTGCGTTAGGCGGCTGCTGCTGTCCTTCCGTTGCTTCACGCGCTCTGTAGCTGTCACACGTTACCCGACTTTGCTACAGCCCCTGCGTGGACTCGATCACGGAATGACACCCCCAACTACCAGACTAATAATTCCAAACACCGTGACCCTGGGTTTCCGGTAGAAAATGAAGCCAAATTCTAATTCGACTCTTACAAAATAAACACCAGTTTATTCTATCTGCTTCGACGAACAAACCTTCCTTTTATTTTGTTTTCTTTCGAATTGCTTCATTATTTCTTCGGTTTCTAGGCTACGTGTTGGGGAGAGAGACGCACGAAACGCTCATCGTCTCTCCGGCCGCGTTAGCTGCAAAGGCCGGCGTCAACTCTTACAAATCCATCTCTCTCCCCACAAATACTAGCCGGGGGACTACGACTGCAAACGCAGGAGTCCCAAAACTGACCAAGTCCTCAAATGGTACACACCATTCTACAACACCCACATCGAGGTCAGTTTCTGGACGACCACCGAATAAGTCAACTATCCGTTCCCCCAGACGGTCCCCTCCCCCGGCTGTCTCGATACGATCCTACTGCCGTCTGTAAGTTTCCGTGACACTCGCCGCGAATCCTCTACATTGTTTCGCGCGTACGGCTTGTATGCATCCGACCTCCACTTCCCTTCTCTCTGAATCACTCGTTCTGCGATGTCCCCGCCCGATGCAAGAGCCGTCGCGCCTCCAATTCGCAACGAGTGCAACGCGTACTCCTGGGGGTTACGCCCCGACTTCGCTACCACTTCTCTGACTGCACGGAGGGCAGCAGTATACCTCACTACTCTCACTGCTCTTCCACTACGGTACGAAGCCAACGGTGCGGAGTCAGGCAACGTCGCATGACACGATAACAGCTCCACCACAAGAGCCACCGCGCCGCCGCGTGCTCTCACACCTGACTGCGGTCCGGTGACTTCGTCTCGCGTACGAACCCGTATGTTTCCTTTCTGCTCTTGATCGGCCTTGTGCCCTCTAAACCTCATTTCGACACGGTCTGCTCTACGATAGTGACTAAAGACTAATTGCGTCTCGCCAGCAAACAATGCTACGTCCGCCCTCGTAAGACAGTGTGCCTCATGCACCCTGCCCGCATCATTCGCGAACACCTCATCAGACCGTGTGATAAAGAGATAGGACAAGCACAGACACAGCCACATCACTCTGCCCCCTTCCCCCCAGTTCTGGCTTGCGCTTTCCCCGTCCAGCAGCATACGCCAAGACACAGGCAGGCGCACACGGCGTATCGTCCCCACAGCCACGTGGTTCCTCGCAATCCCCCTTAGCGCACATTTCAACATCGGAGACGACAAGTCTAGCTCGACAGAAGCTTCCAGCCTATGAAAATGTTGTACAGCCGTGAGTTTTCCGGATATTGTACTCGCTAGATTACCCTCAGACTCGAAACACCAGGCTACGAAGTCTATCAACTCCCACACATGAAGGTGCCCGGCACGTTGCCCTAGGAACTTGGGCTTCTCCGTCAGCCTGCGAAACGTGCACCAAGAGTTGAAGCCTGACGTGTAAGTCCTTCTAGACGAAGACGCAACTGAGTGCTCGACGAGCTGCATGCCAAGACGTCGGTAACAAAGTCCCGTCCTGCCTGTCCCGGGTCCTGAACCTGCTGATAGCCCTGGAGCCAACCTCGTGTAGACCGGCGTGCTGCCGTTCGATTTAGCCGCAGGTGCGCTGCCATCCGAGGTAGGCCCCCCCGCTACGCGGGGAGAGCCCGCACCCCTATTTGTCTTTCCCGTGGGTGAAGAAGCCAGCGGCCTTGGGTCTCGCGCCGCCCTCGCCAGCGGCGCGCGCCTCTCCTCCGCGCCCTCCCCCGTTGCCGTGGCCAACGCCGCGCGCGCCGGTTGCCGGAGTTTCGGACGCTCCGCGCCTAGCGTGGGAAGGGTTCTGGGCGTGGATGTGTGGGCAGTTACGATCATGGCAACCGGACGACGAGTTGAAGGCGAAGCAGTAACCACGAGCGTGTCGAGCGATGCCGCCACTTTCTCTGTCACCAGGACGCCTTTGCGAAGCAAGGATTGCCACTCCATCTGCGACAGTTTTGAAACTGCCGGAGGCCACCCCAGGATGAGCCACGCTTTTACCCGGCGGAGGTCCCCCCATATCCGCGCTCTATCCTTTGCCGTAGCCTTAGCCGCCTCGGCGCTGGGTGTAGCGGGGGCCCGAGAGGCCGATGGTGGGGCGGTTGTGCCCACCAGTTGCACCCCCCCCCGGAAGGCCAGGTCCTGCTGCTTGGGTGGCGATCAGGTCGTCGATCGTTGCTTGAAAGCTGCTGGCGATCGCCGGCAGCCTCATCGCGCTTCCGCTGCAGCTCCTCCCTCAGGCCGTCCACCAGCCCGCGGAGAGAAGCGAGCTCAGTCTCATCAGCGGGGGGGTCGCCGCGGGTGCCTGTCCCTGGCGCTCGCGAGGAGGATACCGCTCGACGCCTCGCGGGAGTACGTGATCCGCTGCGCGTCGAGGGGCGAGCCGTCGAGCTCGCCACCGATCGCGCGGTAGACCTCCTCGTGCGTGGTGTCGAAGGTGTCGCCGCCCGACCTCGCCCTGCTTGCCCACCCGCTGCCCTGCCGCTCCGCGTGGAGGCCCGTGTCGGCATCTGGTCGCGGTTGGAGTCGTATAAGCAGCGGACCGGCGGCAGGCGGCGGGCGAGCGTCAGGGCGGCGTTGCGGGAACACTTCTTTTCCTCTTCATCGTGGGCGTAGTCGATCGCGCGCCTGGATCTGCAGTTAGAATGGTCTACAAATCCTATCTTCGGGCGAAACTATCTGGCGTGGGTTTTCGTCGGGCCCAGAACGACGCGTTGTTATATCGCGAGCTCGCGTTAGTTCGTTCTCGACGCCTGTGGATTGAACGGAGTGATTATTGCTGCTGACGCTACGGTCACCGGACGTCGACCAATCCCGAATATTTCTCTCTTTGGAACACTAGCGATGGTTTCTCTTTTTTTTTTTTTATACATATATTTTCTTGGATTCGGTGAACCCCGGTTCGCCATCGGCACGGGTGCTTCCACTCATTGGCGCGTCCCGTGCTGATACGTGTTTTTTTTTTTTTTTTTCGATGCGTTGGATACGGTGAACTCCACTTGCCAACAGCGCGGGTGCTTCCACTCATTGGCGCGTCCCTCGCTGAAACTGACAGCACATATGCAGCACGGGTGCTTCCACTCATTGGCGCGACCCGTACTGATACTTGTACGCAGCGCGGGTGCTTCCACTCATTGGCGCGTCCCTTGCTGAAACTGACAACACATATGAGCACGGGTGCTTCCACTCATTGGCGCGTCCCGTACTGATACGTGTATGACTTCGTTTTCGATGCGTGGAGATCGGTTAATTCTACTCGCCAACAGCACGGGTGCGTCCACTCATTGGCGCGTCCCGTACTGATACGTGTACGGCGTTTTTGTTCTTTCTTTTTGAGATCGGTTAACTCTACTCGCCAACAGCACTCATTGGCGCGTCCCTTGCTGAAACTGACAACACATATGCAGCACGGGTGCTTCCACTCATTGGCGCGTCCCGTACTGATACGTGTACGACTTCGTTTTCGATGCGTGGAGATCGGATAATTCTACTCGCCAACAGCACGGGTGCGTCCACTCATTGGCGCGTCCCGTGCTGATACGTGTACGGCGTTTTGTTCTTTCTTTTTGAGATCGGTTAACTCTACTCGCCAACAGCACTCATTGGCGCGTCCCGTACTGATACGTGTACGACTTCGTTTTCGATGCGTTGAATTCGGTTAACTCTACTCGCCAACAGCACGGGTGCGTCCACTCATGCCCGCAGTGCGGCAGCGCATCGGGATCCTGGTCTGGTTCTACATTGTCTCCCGCACACGCACCTGCACCCCACAAGGATGAGGTAGCGTTGTACAGCTGCCGTTAATACCGCCGACACACGAGCACCCCCCCTGCTAGAGCATGGCTCTTGTCTGGCTGGCGCCGTAGTTACCGTCGACAGCGGCACTTTGAGCGCTACTGTGCGGTTTAATTTTTCTCATCTGGCCAAACCGCCTATCTTGGTGTACCCCAACTGGGATGCAGTCGAGGACGGCACCCGCCCTTTCCGCTCTACACCGATGCTATGTAGTTTCAATGGCCTCGGTTCGACTCTATTTTGAGCCAAACAGGATGACGGCGAGATTCGCCCTATCGTGTTTATCAGCCGTGTATTCTCGGTTCCGAACGCAATTGGACAGATCTGGACTTAGAAGTTAGTGCCATTGTGTGGAATATCAAACACCTTCGTGCCTATCCAACGGTCACGCACTTCCGTATTGTTCGCACAAAAACATTGCTGGGAAAGCCTTTCCAAATTTCGCGCGAACACAGC